CGCCTGATAATCTCTTTTTTTTTAAACAAAGTTTTGTTCTGTTGCCTAGGCTAAAGTACAATGCATGATCTTATCTCACCACAACCTCAAACTCCTGGCTCAAGGGATCCTTCTGCCCCAGCCTCCCAAGTATCTAGGACTACCAGCACCTGCCAGAATACCTCACTAAATTTTCTATTTTTGGTAGAGATGAGTTCTCACTCTTACCCAGGCTGGTCTTGAATTTCTGGCTTCAAGCTATCCTCCAGCCTCAGCCTCTCAAAGTTTTAGGACTACGGGCATGAGCCACCATGCCTGGCCTATTAAAATAAGTTTTATGTTATATATATTTTAACACAATACAAAAAATCAACGTCAAGGTAGATGGGTTTAAGATGAGTGGAAGGTTAAACTTGCACGGACGGAGATCAATTAGGAGGTTGATGAATGGCCCAAACAAGAGAAGATAGGCAGAGGCAGTGGGGATGGTTCAGAAGCTACAGGAAGTCGCCACGGCAGGACTTCTAGACATGATAGCAGGAGACGTCTGAGGGAATATCAGGTAGAATATCCTCCAGCAGCTTCTTCAGAAAGAAGAGGAAAAGACTGAGAGTCCTTGAGATTATGTGGCTGTTTTCAAATCCTGCACCTGCTCCTTCCTGGCTGAAGAACAATAGGCCACATTTAAGGATTGGGGACCAAGTGAGTCTGAGAAGAGCCTGAGAATAGAGGTAAGCGGATGGGAACTAGGTGGATGTGTTATCAGAGAGCCACAGGAAATGAAGAGTGTCAGATGCCACTGAGCAGTCAGGGTGAGGATCAGGATTGGATGAGGTCACCAGTCACCTGGGGAAGAGCAGTTTCTGTGTCCCCCACTCGGAAACATTCAACATAACTTCTTCCTACTCTTCTTGTCCATCTGGACTCACTTGTCAATCCCTCCCTCCCCACACGGCCAACCAGGGTCTGGCAATCTTGTCACTGAATCTAAAACTGCTTTCTGCCCAGGACTTAAGAAAGAAAATCTGGGTACGAGCATCTATCCCAGACCAGGTACTGTGCTCTATTGACCTTCACAGCATGGCTGTGCCATAGGTACAATAGGTTGAACAGTGTCCTCTCCAAATTCATGACCATCTAGAAACTAAGAACATGACCTTATTTGGAAATAGGGTCTTTGCAGACATAAGACGTAATTAGTTAAGATGAGGTCACAGTGGAGTAAGGTGGACCCTAAATCCAATGGGGAAGACACAGAGACACACAGGGAAAACATCATAAGAAGACAGAGGCAGAGACTGGAGTGCTCCCTCTGCAGGCCCAGGAACCCTAAAATGACCAGCAACCAGCAGAAGCCAGGGAAGAGGCCTGGGACAGCTTCTCCCTTCTGGCCCATAGAAGAAATCAACCTGCTGATTGGTTTCAGACTTCTGGCCTCCAGAACCATGAAAGAGTAAATTTCTGTTGTGGCAGGCGCCTATAGTCCCAGCTACTTGGGAGGCTGAGGCAAGAGAATCACTTAGGCCCAAGAGTTTGAGGTTGCTGTGAGGTGTGATGCTACCTGGGCAAACTACCACAAGCCACATTTTCTATTCCCATTCCTGTCCTGCCCAGCTGTGCTGGACAAAGCGTCACCACATGCTGACTGGTGTCCCTCTCCCCTGGGACAACTCTATCCAGGGTATCAGCTGGAGACTCTGTCTCAAAAAAAAAAAAAATTAATTAATTAAATTAAATTTAAAAACACCCTGTTTATGGTAATTTGTAACAGAACCCCAAGGCATATAAAACAGTAGATATTATTCTTTTTTTCACAACTGGGGATACTTCTCTGGGTCTCTAAGTCACACAGTAGGCAATGGCACAGAAGCCTAGGAGCCTGAGTTTGCACGTACACCTTCCTCCCTGCCATCCTGCTCTTTTATGTCACTGTGGTGTCCCCTGGGCCCTTCCCCTCTTTCCTTCCAAATTTCCTACCTGGGCAAGCCACCACAAGCCACATTTTCTATTCCCACTCCTGTTCTGCCCTGGACAAAGCGTCACCACATACTGACTGATCCACTACCAGCTCGTGCTTTTTGTCTTCAGCCAGGCTCTCCCTGAAACCCTATAGTTCTTTCCTTTCACTTTGGTTGACCTCTGTTGCATTCAATTGATTAAACAAACCACATCCTCACATTTTAAATTCCAACCCCTATTTTAACATCCTCAGCAAATAAGAGGATGCTTTAGAGCTGTTGCCCAAAGTGACCTGCTCAGCCTTACAACATCCCCCGGTGAGTGCCTAGGTATCTTCTTGCTCAGTGCTTCTCAAAGTGGTGAAGGACTTTTTAAAACATTTTGAATCCATTTCAGACCAACGCATTTACAAAATAAAAATAACATTGCAGGGCTGGGTGTGGTAGCTCATACCTGTAATCCCAGGCTGAGGTTGGTGGTTTGCTTGAGCTCAGGAGTTTGAGATCAACCTGAGCAAGATCAGAGTGAGATCCCATCTCTACTAAAAATAGAAAAATTAGCTGGGCATAGTGATGGGCACCTGTAAAAGAGGATCACTTGAGCCCAAGAGTTTAAGATTGCCATAGCAAGGTCAACTTGTAAAATTTCCCAAATGCTTCCTCTGTACTTCCTGTTCAGCATGGGCCAGCACCTGCTGAGAGGTCAGCTCAGTCTGTGACCACACTTCAAGTAGCACTGCTCTAGCCCACAGAAATCTCAACAATTCCTTATCTGATGCACTGTTAACAAAGGGGCCCTAAAAGCCAAATTATATGACTTAGGAAGAAAGGCAATAAAAGATGACAACCTTGATAATCAGAGAGACTCCCCATCAAATCTGCTGCCAGCAGGAGGGAAGGAAGGAGCTGAGTTACAGAACAGATAACAGGAGAGGAAGAGCCTGGCTTTTGGGACTTGGACCCAGTGCCAGAGAATCTGTCACTCAAGATCCCTGGGCTAGTCTCTGTGATACCAGACTAAAACGGGCTCACCGTTTATCCAAGTTAAGAAGGTCACTGGGACTCACTTTTCAGGCATCAGAGTGTGGCAAAAAGCTATGATAGTCTTAGCACAAGAAAAACATCAGACACATTTTGATAGAAGGGCACCCTATAAAATCTCCTATCAGTACTCCTCAAAATTGCCAAAATCTTCACCAAGGAAGTCTGAGAAACTCCCATAGCCAAGAGGGCCTAAGGAGACATCAGGCTCAAGCTAATGTGGCATCCTGGGATGGAAAAGGAACTTTAGGGGTAAGCTAAGGAAATCTGAATGAACTCTGGATGTTAATTAATAATAAGGAATCAATGGCCAAGGGCAGTGGCTCATACCTGCAATCTTAGCACTCTGGGAAGACAAGGTGAGAGAACTCGCTGAGCTCATGAGTATAAAACCAGATTGAACAAGAGCCAGAAACCATCTCTACTACAAATAGAAAATTAGCCAGGTATTGTGGTGGGCACCTGTAGTCCCAGCTACTTGGGAGGCTGAGACAGGAGGATCATTTGAGCCCAGGAATTTGAGGCTGCTGTGAGTTAGGCTAACACCATGGCATTCTAGCCTGGGTAAGAGTGAGACTCTCTCTCAAAAAAAAATAATGTGACTTGGTGCCTATAGCTCAGCAGCTAGGGTGCCAGCCACATACACTGGAGCTGGCAGATTCGAATCCAGCCTGGATCTGCCAAACAACAATGACAACTACAACCAAAAAATAGCCGGGCACTGTGGTGGGTGCCTGTAGTCGCAGGTTGGGAGGCTGAGGCAAGAGAATCACTTAAGCCCAAGAGTTTGAGGTTGCTGTGAGCTGTGAAGCCACAGCACTCTACCGAGGGTGACACAGTGAAACTCTTATCTCAGGAAAAAAAAAATAATAAGGTATCATTATTGTCTTATTAATTATAATAAATGGGCATACTAATGGAAGATGTAAATAACAGGCAAACCTTCTGTACTATATTATCAAAGTTTTCTGTAAATCCAAAACTATTCTACAAAACATCTACTGATTTTAAAAAGAGGCAATGGTGGGCTGTGAATAGAGGGGAGATGTTAGAATTAGAGTATACAGAGCCACAGCACCTTTGGAGATCACTCTTTCCAGGGCAACAAAGTGAAACTCTGTCTCAAAAAAAAAAAACCTCCATAGGGCAATAAGATTGAACATGCCGGGTGGCACCTGTAGCTCCGTGGGTAGGGCACCAGCCACATGCACGGGGTCTGGGGGTTCAAACCCAGCCAAGGCCTGCTTAAAAAAAAAAATAAATAAATAAAATAACAACAATAACAAAAAAAATAGCTGAGCATTGTGGCAGATGCCTGTAGTCCCAGCTACTGGGAGGCTGAGGCAAGAGAATCGCTTAAGCCCAAGAGTTGGAGGTTGCTGTGAGGTGTGACACCACAGCCCTCTACTGAGGGTGGCATAGTAAGACTCTGTCTCAAAAAAAAAAAATCAAACCTGTGAGATTAGGGAAAACACTCCCCTTAGCCTACCAGGATTACAGGCATGAGCCACTGAGCCTGGCCCAATGTCTCTCATTGTAAATGACAGATTTGGCATTTGGTTTGTGTTTTGAACTTGTGTGAGCTGGGTTAGTATGAGTCAGCCTCCCTTAGCCCTGACTACTTTGGAACACGAACAAACCAAATTTCTAAGCACCAGGATTATTAATTCTTTGATTAGTCACAGTAGCAGATACTCTACAGAAATGGGCGGGGGGAGGCTGGTGGTGTCTGTGGCTCAGGGAGTAGGGTGCCAGCCCCATATACCGAGGGTGGCAGGTTCAAACCTGGCCCCGGCCAAACTGCAACAAAAAATAGCCGAGTGTTGTAGAGGACACCTGTAGTCCCAGCTAATCGCGAAGCTGAGGCAAGAGAATCACCTAAGCCCAGGAGTTGGAGGTTGCTGTGCGCTGTGTGATAGATACCATGGCATTCTATCGAGGACGATAAAGTGAGACTCTGTCTCTACAGAAAAAAAAGAAAAGAAATTGGGGGTGGGAGAGGAGTGATAGCACAAAGCCTACCCTGTGAAGGAGTCCCATATAATGATCAAGCAGTCTGGCCCTTTGTCTGCTGTGGCGATCCACCGCCTGTCTTCACTGACGCAGAGGCAGGAGATAACATTGGGGTGGCCCTATAAAAATGAAGAGAAAATGCTCTAAAAATATCCAGAATGCTGCCCAGCCCTAGGTACCATCAAGAAAGGCTGGGTTCCCACAGAGAAATCTAAACTTCTTTTAACGCTCATCTGGCTAAAAATTCTACTCTCACTGGCCTTCCCCGGGTAGATGGCCTTCCCCATCTTCTAGTGGGTAGTTTTTGAATTTCCTCTCCCAGTAAACTCAGACTGGGTACATTGTCTCACATCTATAATCATAGCACTCTCGGAGGCCAAGGTGGATGGATCGCATGAGCTCAGGAGTTTGAGACCAGCCTGAACAAGAGTGAGACTCGAGTCTCTAAAAACCAGCTGGGCATTGTGGCCAGCACCCTTAGTCCCAGCTACTTGGGAGGCTGAGGCCAGAAGATCACTTGAGCCCAATAGTTTAAGGTTGCTGTGAGCTATTATGCCATAACACTCTACGGGGGGTGTCAAAGTGAGACTCTATCTCAAAAAAAGAAAAAAAAGGTTTTCCACTGTAAGAATATTTTTTATTTTCTGTGTTGTAGTGTTGCTTGAGTTGGAGTGCCTACTAAGAACTCCCTAAATTACACTGATTAATAAATTAAACATAATAAAATTTTAATTGTGTAATCTTTTTTTTTTTTTTTTTTTTTTGAGACAGAGCCTCAAGCTGTCCCCCTGGGTAGAGTGCCGTGGCATTACAGCTCACAGCAACCTCCAACTCCTGGGCTCAAGCGAGTCTCCTGCCTCCGCCTCCCAAGTAGCTGGGACCACAGGCGCCCGCCACAACGCCCGGCTATTTTTTGGTTGCAGCCGTCATTGTTGTTTGGCGGGTCCGGGCTGGGGATTCGAACCTGCCACCTTAGGTGTACGTGGCTGGCGCCTTAGCCGGTTGAGCTATAGGCGCCGAGCCAATTGTGTAATCTTAATATCAGGGCATTGTAAGATACCCTGGATTTGGCTGGGCACCCGTAGCTCAGTGGTTAGGGTGCCGGCCACATGCTCTGGGGCTGGTGTGTTCAAACCCAGCCTGGGCCTGCTAAACAAACAAACAAAAGGCTTGGTGCCCGTAGCACAGTGGTTATGGCACCAGCCATATACACCAAGGGTGGCAGGTTCAAACCTGGCCTAGGCCAGCTAAACAACTGCAACCAAAAAATTGCAGGGCTCTGTGGTGGGTGCCTATAGTCCCAGCTACTTAGGCGGCTGAAGCAAGAGAATCGCTTAAGCCCAAGAGTTTGAGGTTGCTGTGAGCTGTGACATAATGGCACTCTACCAAGGGTGACAAAGTGAGACTCTGTCTCAAAAAAAGCAAACAAACTCCTACCTGAAAGATAAACTATACTCTGCATAGCAACAGTGGCTCTCTAGGGGACAAGTCATGTACCCATCTCTAATCCAGGTGCCAGTGAGTATAGCTCAGGGGTAGAGCATTTGACTACAGATTAAACAATAAACATTTGGGTCAGGGGTGGAAAACCTACCACATGTGGCCATCCAGATCCCCAGGTGCAGCCCCTGGCTGAATCCAAATTGTACAGAGCAAATCCTTTTTTTTTTTTTTCTGAGACAGAGTCTCACTTTGTTGCCCTGGTAGAGTGCTGTGGTTTCACAGATCACAGCAACCTCCAGCCTCTTGGGTTAAAGCTATTCTCTTGCCTCAGCTTCCAAGTAGAGAGCAAATCCTTTTAATGAAGGAATTTGTCCTGTGAAGTTTGGCTTAGGTCAAAAGTCCTCACTCAAGGACCCAGAAGGCCAAATCTAGGTTCTCTCCTCCCCTAAGCAACCCTGAACCTCTCCGCCAGCCCCATCTCCCTAAAACGCTATTCACTTACAGTCACCGAGCAGCTCTGAAGCAATAGCTCCTCTCTACTTCCACTCTTATCCTCCTACCATCCTTTCTTCCATACAACAGAGGAACACTGTGGAAACATAACCCCTTTTCCTCATTCCTCATCTCCCTCCCTCACTCTGCATCAACTCACTGGCCTTCTTTGGGCCTCCCACACAAGTCTAAAGCACTTAGAGCTCCCTCTGTCTGGAATGCTCTTCCTCCAAACTTGTTTGTTTTATTCTCATGGTTCAAGTCTCACCAGAAACAGCACTTTTTTAGTCCTGACCACTCCATCTATATTAGGTTTTCTCTCTCTCTGATTTTTCTCTCTTAGGCCATCTTCACATTTCCTGTAGGGCACTGGTTCAGTTTGTAATCATGTATGTATGTGTTCACTTGTTTCATGCCTGTCTCTGCACTAAACTGTAAGCTCCACAAGATCAGGGAATAAACCTATCTTATTCTTGACTACACATCCATAATCTGAAACATAGTGGCCATAAGTATTTGTGGAATGAGTGAGTGAATGCCAGTCCCAGCCACCCGCCCCTGACAAGGCTGGACTCCTGCTATCTGCTCCTTCAGTCTCAGCCCCTCTGCATGGTCCTGCTCCTCCCTGACTACCTGAGCCTGCTGACAACAATCTTTCCATCCTCCTCTGCTGTCACCATTGTGCTTACTGTTACACATTCAATGAAGGTCTGAGAGGAGCTGCTTGCTGATTTTTTTCATGTGTATTTCTGGACTTCTAGAGAGTAAATTCCTTAAGTTGTGCCCAGGTGTCCTGGATCCCTGGCACAATGCTAAGTACTGAATGGGCTCCTGGTAAAAACTTCATAGTGTTTTTGAGCTGGGTGTTGACTAAGAAAGATCCTATAACAACACATGTAACTGAAAGGGTAACATGGAACTGTTTACCAGGTCAACTAGTGGAAAGTCAGATACTAAGAAATAGGACACTCAGATAGGTCAAGCAGAGTGGTGTGAGGAGGGTAGACATGTGTAGGGAGGTTCAGAGAGGGTAAAACAGAGTTGCTGAAGGGAAGGAGGGAAAAGAGGATAACTTAACGCTTTCTTACTTACCTACTTAATACTTCTGAGTCAGGAAACCTGGATTTATCATTACTAGTGCAATCTTGAGCAAATCACTTAAATCACTCTGGGCCTCAGTTTCTTCTTCTATAAAATGGGTGCGTTAACACTCACTTCTCAGCATGGTTATAAGGAGCACAACCCTTTGAAAACTAGAGAGGTCTACGTGTCATTAGGTTTGCATCCCTGCTGAACAGGTGCCTCTCTTGTTTCACCACAGTTATGTGGAGACATGATCTACATGGTCCACATTTTTGCAGAAATGTGAAAAGCACAGATGTTTTAAATCCTTATAACTATAAAATTAATATCAACTGTTGTTTGTAAGTTGATTTTGATTAGAATCAGAAAGACAATGAACAACAACATGTTCTTCTAAAGAGAGGATTTTCTGTAGATCAAAGAGAGGTTGGAAAGCATGACAGTGATATAAAGAAGTCAGCTTTTGACATATAAAACAAAATGCTCCACACAAATTAAAGACAACCTCTTTTACTTACAAGAAGGAAAACCCAGCATACCTGAAGGTGGTACTGATAATTCCTGGACACATTGTAGATGACCGCAGTGTGAGCACAGACAAACAGAAGAACTCTCTCATTTTCCTCTCGAAGATAGTAAACAGGAAGAGAGCTGTTCCATCCAAACCACCAGGTCATGGTCTGGAAGACAAAGGTAAAACCATGAAGACACCACAGTATAGTTCGGCTCCCATAACACACTGGTGATAGCACCAGCCACATACACTGAGGCTGGCGGGTTCGAACCCAGCTCAGGCCAGGTAAACAATGACAACTGCAACAAAAAATAGCTGGGCATTGTGGCGGGCACCTATAGTCCCAGCTAGGTGGGAGGCTGAGGCAAGAGAATTACCTAAACCCAAGAGTTTGAGGTTGCTGTGAGCTGTGATGGCACAGTACTCTATTGTGGTGACAAAGTGAGACTCTCTCTCAAAAAAAAAAGATACTACAGCGTGCTGAGCCCAGTACTATGGCTCCTGGTGTTCCTGGCACAAGTCCCCAGAGGAGGAGGATTTGATAGCAAAAGTCCAAGGAAGAAAAACCACTTAGAAAGTCCTCAACAGCATGCTATATGGATAAATCTTGAAAATGTTATGCTAAGTGAAAGAAATAGTGACATAGTTGCACAACGCTACAAGTATCCTAAAAACCAATAAACTGTATTCTTTAAAGGGGTGGATTTTTTGAGGATGTGAAAAAATTGGAACCCTTATGTACCCTGGTGGGAATGTAAAATAGTACAGCAGTGGTAAAAACTAGTATGGCTGTTCCTCAAAAAAATTGAAAATAAAATTACCCTATAATCTAGCAATTAAGTTTCTGGGTACATAACCCGAAATTACTGAAAACCAGGTGTTAAAAAATATTTGTATATCCATGTTCCTAGCAGCAGTAATTACTCACAACAACCAAAAGGTGAAAGAAACCCAAGTGTCCACTAATGGATGAATGGATAAACAGACTGTGTGGCCTATTCATACAACAGAAAATTACCCAGCCTTAAAAAAGGAAATTCTGACATAGACCACCACATGGATGAAATCTGGCAACTTTCATAAGTGAACAAACCAGTCACAAAAGGAAAAATACTGCATGACTCCACTTGTATGACATACCTAGAATAATTAAATTCACAGAGATAGAAAATAGAATGACGGGTACCAGAGGAGGTAGGAGAAGGAGGGTATGGGAAGTTGTTGTTCACTGGTACAGTGTTTCAGTTTCATAAACTCCTAGAGATGGGTAGGAGTGATGGTTGCAAAGCAATGTGAAGGTACTTAATAACACCGACCTGTATCTTTGAAATGGTTAAAATGGCAATTTTTTTTTTGAGAGAGGATCTTGACCTATCAGTCAGACTGGATAGCAATGACAATCACAACTTACTTCAACCTTGAGCCCCTGACCTCAAGTGATCCTCCTGTCTTAGCCTCCTCCAGTGTGAGGATTACAGGTGTGAGTCACCACACCCAATTAGATTTGATTCTTACACACCACTTTTCTTGGGAGGATAAATGATAAAGAGATAAAATCCATCCAGGTGCAATGGCCAACACCTATAATCTTAGGACTCTAGGAGGCCAAGGGGGGAGGACTGCTTGAGGTTAGAAGCTTAAGAATGGCCTGAGTGGCTCGGCGCCTATAGCTCAACCGGCTAAGGCGCCAGCCACGTACACCTAAGGTGGCGGGTTCGAATCCCCAGCCCGGACCCGCCAAACAACAATGACGGCTGCAACCAAAAAATGGCCAGGCGTTGTGGCGGGCGCCTGTGGTCCCAGCTACTTGGGAGGCGGAGGCAGGAGACTCGCTTGAGCCCGGGAGTTGGAGGTTGCTGTGAGCTGTGAGGCCATGGCACTCTACCCAGGGGGACAGCTTGAGGCTCTGTCTCAAAAAAAAAAAAAAAAAAAAAAAAAGAATGGCCTGAGCAAGAGTGATACCTTGTCTCTACCAAAAATAGGAAAAATTAGCTGGGTATGGTGGTATCCATCTGTAGTCCCAGCTACTCTGGAGGCTGACGCAAGAGGATTGCTTGAGCCCAGGAGTTGGAGGTTATTGTGAGCTATGATGACACCGCTGCACTCTTGCACTAACGCTAGGGCAACAGAGTGAGAACACTATCTCAAGAAAAAATAAAATAAAATCCCCGTGATAAATTAAAATTTCTATACTTCCAGGAAAAAAACAAAAATGTTATGAAATGAGAAATTATAGGTACTATAAATCTGACTACTGCTTTCATTTTTTTTTTTTAAGAGACAGAGCCTCATTTTGTCACCCTCAGTAGAGTATCATGGCGTCATAGCTCATAGCAACCTCTAGCTCTTGGGCTTAGGCAGTTCTCTTGCCTCAGCCTTCAGAGTAGCTGGGACTACAGGTGCCTGCCACAACACCCGGTTATTTTTTTCTTGCAGTTTGGCAGGGGCAGGGTTTGAACAGCCCACCCTTGGTGTCTGGGGCCGGAGCCCTACTCACTGAGCCACAGGCACTGCCCCGCTTTTAATTTTAATTTTGTGTTCACAGCCTTTTATAAAAATTAAAGATAAACAAACTGTGGCACATCCAGACGATTGGAATATTACTCAGTGAGAAAAAGAAATGAGCTATCAAGCCATGAAAAGATATGAAGGCTTGATATGCATAAATGCATATTCCTAAGTGAAAGAGCAAGTCTGAAAAGGCAGTATACTGCATGATTCCAACTATATGACATTCTGGAAAAGGAAAGCTATGGAGACAAAAAGATTAAAGGTCGCCAGGGCTAGGGGCAGGGGAGAGGGATGGAGGTATGGGTGGAGGACAGGGATTTAGGGTAGTGACACTGCTCTGTGTCGTACTAGGAAAGGTGTACATCATTATACGTTTGTCAAAGCCCACACAATGTACCACAAAAAGTGATCCCTAATGTAAACTATAGATTTTAGTTAATAATAATGTATCAATATACACTCGTCAACTAACAGATGCACCACACTAATGCAAGATGTTAATAAAAGGGAAAACTGGAGAGGAAGGAGGTGCAAGGGAGTACCTGGGCACTCTCTGTGCCTTCAGCTCAATTTTTCTATAAACCTAAAACTACTCAAAAGTAAAGTCTATTTAAAAAAGTGAATTAAAGCCAAGTAAGGAAATGTAGAATAGTTCTGAAAGTGATGGTTAAGTGATGAGCTGCTAAAAATCAGTGAGTTATGTTGGGAGTATGGAAACAAAATCTGGTAAGTTTCCATTTTTATCTTTGAACAATACTTACAAAGTTAAATTATTTCTCCTCAAGATAAACATGGCAGGTAACATGGCTGACTTCTCTCTCTTACATTCTTCACTCCCATCCTCTACTGTTTCCATCTGCTCATTCCCTATAATTTATATTTATATTTAGATCCCTTATTGTGTGGGTGTGAGTGGTAGAATTATGGAATCATAATTGTCTCAAGCTGCAACTTCTAGGAACAGAATTATTTAATAGTCGGCTGGTTCTTAAAAGCTGATTTATTCAAATGAAATTGTTCTTTTGGAAACTTGCTAATCCTAAAAGGATCATTTTATTCATCCTGGAAATTTATTTTGCTATTTAACAAATTAGTTATAAAAAGAAAACATTCTTAACCATCCTGAGCAGACTTCTCTTGTCAGCTGTAACAGCTCTTCCAAAGTCAAAACTAGGCTGACTTCCCTCAGTAGTAACACAAATACCGTACTCAAGCAGCATTCACTACTGAAATCACCTAGCATTAATCATCATGTGTTGCACCGTTTTTTTTTTTCTTGAGAGAGTCTCACTTTGTCACCCTCAATAGAGTGCATGGCATCATAGCTCACAGCCAACCTCAAACTCAGCTCAAGTGATCTTCTTGCTCAGCCTCCTGAGTAGCTGGGGTTACAGGTGCCTGCTACAATGTCTGGTTATTTTTTAGAGATGGGGTCTCTCTCCGGCTCAGGCTAGTCTCAAAGTTGTGAGCTCAGGCAGTCTACCCACCTTGGATTTCCAGAGTGCTAGGATTATAGGTGTGAGCCACCATGCCCAGCCTTTGGACCAGTTTATTTTATTTTATTTTATTTCAGATTATTATGAAGGTATAAACAATTAGGTTACAATGTTTGTGTTTGTTAGGTAAGGTCTCTGTTGTAGTTCTACCCCTAACTCATTTTGCACCAGTTTTAACATTTATGATGAATGACGGTGGAGATATCCATGTCTTTACATCAATATTTTTCTAAAACATTATAATTTGGAAAACAAAACTTTTTTTGTCAAAAAAAAAAAAAGGATTTGACTAGATTTGATGCTCGTAAGATTCCTGTTCATAAATACATGATAACCTTGTGTCTTTGGGGCAGATGGGATCCACAATTAGGCCTATTTACCATGAGAACCATTTAAGTTATGACAAGCCTGGGACTAAGGCAGGAGACCAAAGGAAAAGGAAGATGTTGCAGGCACAAGAGATATGGAGGAGCACACTCAGTGCAGCAACTGTTGTGAAAGTAAGAATCTAGATGCAACATAAATGGCCACTGAGAGAGGAAGAGTTAGATTTAAAAAGAGGGGCCTGGCTCGGCGCCTGTAGCTCAACCGGCTAAGGCTCCAGCCACGTACACCTAAGGTGGCGGGTTTGAATCCCCAGCCCGGACCCGCCAAAACAACAATGATGGCTGCAACCAAAAAATAGCCGGGCGTTGTGGCGGGCGCCTGTGGTCCCAGCTACTTGGGAGGCAGAGGCAAGAGACTCGCTTGAGCCCAGGAGTTGGAGGTTGCTGTGAGCTGTAATGCCACGGCACTCTACCCAGGGGGACAGCTTGAGGCTCTGTCTCAAAAAAAAAAAAAAAAAAGAGGGGCCTGTGTGGTGGCTCACATCTATGATCCCAGCACCCTGGGAGGCCCAGGCAGAAGGATTGCTTGAGGCCAGGAGTTTGAGACCAGCCTGAGCAAGAACAAGACTCCAGTCTCTACTATAAAGTAGAAAAAAATCAGTCGTGTGTGGTGGTATGTGCCAGCTACTTGGGAGGCTGAGGCAGGAAGATGAAGCTCAGGAGTCTGAAGTTGCAGTAACTTATGATATAACAAAAAAAATTTAAAAAGAGGAGCTACATGTACTAATATAAGAAACCTTCTGGGTGGTGCCTGTGGCTCAAGGAGGAGGGCGCCAGCCCCATATGCTGGAGGTGGTAGGTTCAAACCCAGCCCCGTCCAAAAAAAAGAAACCTCCTAAGACATATGAAGTGGAAAAACATTTTGCAGAGATGAAGAATTATCTCACTGGTAAAAACTAAACAAAAACTAAATGCTAAATGTGAGCACACATAAACATATGCGCACACAGATAGCACGTTACATACACATTGAAAAAGTCAGGAAACATATACAGTTATACTGAGCAGTAACAGTAGGTACCTCAGGGAAATGGGATTGGAGTGGAAGTATGTGTAGGAAGAGGGATCTTTGCCTTCAAAAATGTATATATTGTCTGGATATTTTACAAAGAGCACTGAGTATTTTTAACAAAAAGAAAAAAATAATCAAGGCAGGGGGAGGAAAAAGAAAGAAGAAAGAAAATACAAGCAAAAAGCTAAAGAAATTTCAGGAGGCTAGGGTGTAAGGATTATTTAAATTTGAATATAGCCTGGGCAACTAGCAAGAACTCTCTGTTTAAAAAAAAAAAAACTGGCTCATCACCTATAGCTCAGTGCTAGGGCACCAGCCACATATACCAGAGCTGGCGGGTTCAAACTCGGCCCAGACCTGCTAAACAACAATGACAACTACAACAACAAGAACAAAAAAATAGCTGGGCATTGTGGCGGGCACGTGTAGTCCCAGCTACTTGGGAGGCTGAGGCAAGAGAATCACTTAAGCCCAAGAGTGGAGGTTGCTGTGAGCTGTGACACCACAGCACTCTACCAAGGGCGACATAGTGAGACTTTGTCTCAAAAAAAAAAAAAGCTAAAGAAATCTGAAAAGCAAGACAGTTGAGAGAGTCTAGAAAAGTTTTGGTTCTGCAGTGAGAACTCAAACTGGGAAGTGGTTCTTGGCAAGTCCTGATAGCTGGGGCCACGACACAAAGGCCACACATTCTCATCAGGGATATTACCTGATTTCTTATTAGCTGGCTAAATAAGACAAAGGTCTTCATGGATCCTAAAAACTCAATTATTCTTTCTCTCAGACTGAGCAATTACAAGCTACAGGACAGAACCTATACCTCCTCAGCTGAAATCTGCAGAAAGCAGGTTTTTAGTGATCTGCATTTCCCACTAGACCTCTTTCCTCCATCATCATCATCACACAGTTGTTAACACCAAGTGCTCACTATGAGTTAGTGACTACCGTAAGTACTTTGTATACACTTACTCAGTTCCAAATCTTCCAAAGGCCTGAATCTATAGGGAAAATTTTTGTAAAAAGCATGAATCCTAGGAAACAATTTTCAGAAAGTAGCAGATGGAGGAAGAAGGGAAAAAAACCTCTCTTCTTCCTTCTAGTCGTAAATGATAATATTTTTATTCCTCGCAGATGGTGCCTCCCTGGAATATTCTCAGCAGCAGCAAAGGCAGACTCCTTTGCACTGCTCGGGGCTTTTCGCTGCAGCTCTCACTCTTGTCATGCCTTTCGCTTTCTGACTGTCTGGGAATGGATGGTTTTGGAGCATGCAAAGAAATCAAGACAGAAGAGAGGAGGCAAGAAGGGGAAGCAAGGCATTGGTGGAATAAAGGAGGAGTATTACAATGTGAGAGAGAAAGAAAGAGGAGGGGAAGAGAGGGAGGAAGAAAAAGGAGAAAGTGGAGTGGAAAACAAAAGACAAGGGAAAGGAAGAGAGATGGAAAAGAGAAGGGGGGTAGAGGAGGGACCAATTTTGAGTGAAATATCACCCTGTGCAACTGACAAACTACGTCTGGAATTTCCTGCCTGCTAAACAACAGTATTGAACCCAGATGCAGCAGTGTTCAAGTTCATGTTCAGTCCCATGTGTCCAGCCAAACCTCTTAACTTTTTGTTTTTTTTGTTTTTTTTGAGACAGAGCGTCAAGCTGTCCCCCTGGGTAGAGTGCTGTGGCATCACAGCTCACAGAAACCTCCAACTCCTGGGCTCAAGCGAGTCTCCTGCCTCAGCCTCCCAAGTAGCTGGGAGCACAGGCGCCCACCACAGGCGCCTGCCA